AATCACAAGCTGTGCTCAAACTGCTGCATATGATTTTGATTTGTTTTCTTGCTCTTGTGAGAGAAAATAAAATCTCTCATTAAAATCTATAAGAAACCATAATTGAAATGACAGTAGATCCAAGACAACATGTACAGAATTATTATAGTACTGCCATTGATTGTAGTGGTTGCTGTGAAGTATTATGATCTGAGTGGAAGTGTTAGAGACACTGCTTTATGCTCTTTGAGGATTTGAATTGTCAAAGTGGCAGTGCAACTAATACAAAGATTGAAATAACTCAACAAATTTACCAATCTGATTAAAACTTATGCAGTGTATACAGAGGCCATCATTTCATCTATCTCTGAAATGCAACTACCTGTCAGGTGCATGCAAGTCGTCATACTTCAAGCTGCACCCGCTTCAAGCCACACAACAGTTGAGAAAAGAAAGCTGATGTCTTTCTTATGCAATTGAAACTACAGGACAGCCTTAAGTAAGCCAATATAATTGCCAAAGTAGAATGTATTTAGGACACTACCATTAACACTTCTATTCTAGTGAAAAGTGCCATCACAAGGTCTTTCAGCTTATGACTCATGTGAAAGACAACAATAGCCAGAAGGATGGTCCCACTAAGACATACCAGGGCACTAGTTCTCTGCTGAGTTAGAAAAGTGACAACTAGAGAATCTCAAACTCCACTTCCTAGACCTCTATGGAGGCCTCCACTTGGACCTGCTTTACTTATGTGATGGGGTGATCACAGCCTGAGGTGGTATGGCAGCAAACCTTGATGGTCCATGAAGCATTCCCAAAGCACCTCATAATGGACTGACAGGTACAGTTAAAAATCCTCTAATTGCCCATTATGCTCAGAATTTGTTAGTCTGCCATCCCAATGGTTACTTGGGGAATCCTTAATTTGCTGAAAGTTGGCACACTAGACTGTAAGTGCTTCTGTTTTGTCAACATATATTTAGAAAATTTTAATCTATGGATAATTGACATAATAGACCTTCAGTAGCTACTTAACTTTCATGTAGACGCTAGACAACATATTTTGAAAAAAAATATTGTCACTGCAAGCATGGGTGTTAAATTTCTTTTGGAAAATGCCTTTAAGGTAAATTAGCACAGAGAAAACAATTTACAATGAATTATTTAATGGATGAATTCAGCCTCTTTTTCTGCTTAATGGAATTTTCAAATGCTGATTGACATTTTTTCAAAAGTATTTGTTCAATTTTATTCAATAGATGTATTTCTGAACTCTTACTCCCCTTTTTATAACAATAATTAATACATTTTTATGATGGCAGCATCTAAGAACTCTAGTCTAGTAAATAATAATAATAATAATAAAAAAAAGTCAGTTCCTGTTTCAGAGAGCTTGCGGTCTACTCCATGGACTTATTGCAAATATTCAAGATTTGAGATGTTTATTTGCAGTTGGTCAGATAAGTCACATGGTATTTATTTTCTGTTCCCTGACTGAATGAATGCTCAACAGCTTCTAATGGCAGTAAATGTACATGTGAATGCATCATTTGATTTCCATTAATACTTGCATGTACAACTTTGATACTTTTACTGGCAAAAATACTCACAAAAACTTGATTGCTTTAAAGTTCATAGTGAACACAAACAGGGAAGAAGAAACGTGGCCAAAGTAAATTAATTTAAAAGTTCAAAAAATTTTCATAGAAAATGTTTTGTATTTTACTCAGCTCTACTGCACATACATAAATAACTGCCTTTCAAACCTGCACTGCATTGCATACCATTAGATGCCATACTCTGATTCCAATCCTGCAAAGACTGTACCTGGTGAGTCTTTGCAAGGTCCAGGTGAATAACTCTCATGGTCACAGGTGCTTTAAAAGTCCCTAACATCAACAGATTTTAAAAAATCTTTGTCCAATAGAAATATTCCCTATTGTGGATTAACATCATTTAATTAAAAAAAAATCAAAAGTGGGTATTCTTACTGGTAGGTATTGAAACCCAAAATGTCTTTAGACTACAATTCTATATTTCTGCTCTCTAAAAAAGGTTTATGCTTCCTAAATTTACAAAAGTATAATTATCAGAGGGGTAGCCGTGTTAGTCTGAATCTGTAAAAAGCAACAGAGGGTCCTGTGGCACCTTTGAGACTAACAGAAGTATTGGGAGCATAAGCTTTCGTTCTTTTGCCTGAGAAACTTCATGCCATCCTTTCCAACCCAGCAAATATTAATAGCATTGTACACATCTAAAACTTAGAAATCTTGTTCTTCCCAGCAAATCACATCCCTCGTGTGTTATCTTACTTCCACTGAAATCACAAATAGTCATACACTCCAAGAACAATAGCACTAAAAATTATCCTCAGGTTAAAAATAGTCTGCTTGTTTGTGTTATATGCACAATCTCATGAACTGTGTTTTTTTTGGTTTTTTTGTTTGTTTGTTTTTTCTCACCAGCAATATTTTACAATTGACCTCAGAGAGGCAAAATCAAAGCCAGCCTTAGTATTTTGGGCAGACTCTAAAAATATGTTGCTGCTATCTTCCCAAATGTAACTGCTGCCCCTACTCTGATCAGAGAGCACTCCAGTATGTTCAGGGCTGGCCTGACCGTTTAGGAGAGGGTTAGTGAGATCATTCTTTATACACACAAATTTAACTGACTCATTTTACATAAAAAGTGTGCATGCAGGCGTTCATAAGCGAGAGATCGTTAGGTCACCTGAATCCCTGAGGCAGAAGTGAAGTCTGTCTGACTTGATCTGAGATTCTGGCAGATATGCCATTATTTGAAAAGATTTCTTTTTCCAAGAGCAATTGTCAAAATAAGAGGAGGTCTTGGAGTCCCTGCAGGGCTGTGTATGAATTCTGGTGACTTTTAGCTTTTCTACAAACTGTCACAAATTAATTATGAATGCCTGTTGCCACCCCCCATGTGAATCAGATAAATATTATCCCAGTTTTTAAAACAGGGAAACTAAGGGAGAAAAGTTCAAAAATTCGACCAAGGCTCTCAGAGAGGCCTTTTTCTTAATCTCATGTTTTGTATTTTTCAGCTACTCCTTGCAAGAATTCTACCAGTATTAGAAGAATTAAGTTCCCTTCAGGTAGCCAGGTGCGAGGAAGTTTGCAGCAGTCCTAGTGTCATTACCAACTATCTGGCAGAATTGGCCCCCAGAGCACTGAATTTTCTATTATAATATATTCTCAGGGAGGTGAGCTGGTGTAAATAATTTACATTCTGATGATCTTCCCCTAGATTTATATTCCAATCCTCCCCTACCATGGCTTGTGTACTCCAAAGGCCAAAATGTGGGAGGGCATAGGAAAGAGAATGAATAAACTGATCTTTAGGAAAAATCAGTAGCAGACTTTTATTACTAGTGATTAGTTTAAATATGTTTGCAACAGTTCATATTTTCAAGAATAGATTACCAAGAAAAACCAATACAGATTCTTTCACATTACTGCCCCCAATAAATAATAGTGAGCCATGTGCTTCCTTTCACAAATGCCAAAACTGTCTCTAGTTGTGACATCAATGTGATAAATTCCATTTATCATGCACTCTTGACTACCTCACCTGCTCTTTTCTAACTCATCCATCTCTTCTGGGATATTTCCTAACATTCCAACAACCCGAGCAGCTTCAAACCATCTCACTTTGTAAAAACACTAGAGCAATGTTTCCTCTTTTACCCCAATTTGCAATTTACTCCCCAAGCGACACTGGCCTGAGTTCCAGGATGAATAATAGTCCTTTTCCAGTCTGACATCTTGATATATAACAGGGATAGAAATGAGTTGTATATAAGGCCCTACTTAAATTGTGGGATGACTGTCAAAAATTTTTAGCTGAATTGTGGACAAGCCATGGAAAATTGCAGAAAAATAATTATGGACCTTATTGTTTGCAGTAATAAATTCCATTATTATTTTTCTGAGATTTTTTTGCTGTTGGCTGCCCGGGGCTGAAAGCAGGGGCTCCCACTGTCAAAATTGAGATGGAAGCCTAATATTGCAGAATCTGCAATATTGCAAGTTAAGTAGGGGCTTAGTGTTTATCATTGGAAAGTAGAGATTCATATTTCTAAAAGAGCTGTTGGATTTGTTTTTCCTCTGGCATATGCAGAACCCATGGCAGTGTGGTGGGGTATAATTATTTTTTTTTGGCACTCATTTGGGATAACTCATTGTTTTGCCACTCTTGAGTAATGTTGCCATCCCAAGCTTTCATATCAATCTAGATCAATACAGCTCTTCTAGAGATGGGCCTGAGCCAAACCTCCAGAACTGATCAACCCAGAATACGGGGAAGGGGTAAAAGAGCTCAGATCAGAACTGAGGTCAACTTCTAAACTTCACAGCTGGTCCCCATGTCTTTAGTAGACTGAAGTAAAAGCATGTCTCCAAACACCCACAAACTTTAATAGATTTGAATCCACTCATCTTTTTTACAAATGAGGGCCTCCTTTAATCATTATTTATACAGCTCTATAAATGAAACATGCCTCCCTCAGTGACTTACTGTGTGACCTTGGGCAAGTCACTTAACCTCTCTGTGCCTCAGTTCCCTATCTGTACAATGGGGATCCTATTAATGACAATGCTAATCATAATCTTTTACCAACCTGGGAAAGGTGCAGCAAGGATACATTTAACTGTATATTAGTGAGATAGTGGGTTGCTCTATGGACACGGGTATGAATGGTGTTAGTTACCCTGGTCCTGCAAAGCTCTACTCCTAAGAGCAGGCCTGTTGAAGCCAGCAGAACTATTCTTACCCATAGACATTGAACCTATGAGCAGTGGCCTGGAGGGTCAGTTCCTAGCTAACAGAGGTGCCCTGCCGTGCTCCTGTTCCGCATGCCAAGTGCCAGGCTCTAGCCCGAAAAGCACTCACTCCCCAGTGGTGGTGAGGCGGGCTATAGCCCCCTCTCTCGCCCTGCCCTGCCTAGGCTCTCCAGCGGGGGGAAGCCCTGGTGCTTCTCCTCCCTGGCAGAGCCCCCACCCTTGTTCTCCAGACGGGTGGGCTGCGTTCCCTGCGGGCCGGGGCGGTGATAGGCTTTGCCTAGCGCGGTGTCCCTGCGCTGTGTGTGTGGCAGCGAGGGGAGGAGGGAAGGGAGCGGGCTGGCTGGGGGAGCGGCTCTGCGCTGCACCAGTGACACTCGGTGCGAACACGCTCCTCACCCAGCAGCCGGGGCGCCGCGCAGCGCCGAGAGCGTCACCCAGCGCTTCGCGTGGCAGCCCCACGCCCAGAGCATCTGCCGGGCGGCGGCCGAAGGACCGTGCTCGCCCAGCCTCCGCTGCCTCTGCCCGCGCCGCAGCATCCTCAGCCCCGCACCGCCGGCCGGCCGGCGCTGCCCCTCTCCGCCTCCGGCTGATGCTGCTCCGGCCGGGGGCTCGCCAGGAGTTGCAAAGACCTGAAAACACCTTGTCGCCGTCTGGTGCGGTCCCGCCCGGGCCACTCGTGCACTTCTGGAAACTTTGTCCGCCCGCCTGCTCCCGCTGCTCTCTCCTGGGGGCTGCGCTTCCCTGTTCCCGGGTTGCTGAAAGGCAAAGCGGAGACTCGCCTTCTCTTGCGGCTAGGATCCTGGCTGTGCTTGGGGGGAGGGAGGCCAGAAAGCAGGAGGGACGTTCCCCGTGTCCTGTAACCAGCACCTGCGAGCCCGGGGCTTTTACACATCTCCCCGGAAGGAGCAAGACTTTTAAAGGTAAGCAAAGCGAAGCGACGTGGAGTTCCTCTTGTGTGTGTCCCGGGGCGAGCTGAGTCCAGACCCGGGGAGAGGGGGCTCATCGGGGGAGTTAGAGAGGAGGGTCCCGCATAGATGTGGGGCGGGGGGAGTCATGCAGCGGGTGTCATGCATCGCAGGGCTATGAAGAGAGGGGGACCATGCATTGGGCGCCAGGAGCATTAGGAGAGATCCGATGTGTTTTAGGCGGTCGCACATCTCTTCCCAGCACTGCCTCCCAGTCTGTGCGCAGGGCTAAGGACTCTGGGGAGTGGGATGAACTCTTGGGCAGCAATGCAATGGGGAGTGGGAATCCTGGGGCTGAGCAGCAGCGGCCCGAAAGTTGTCTTGCCTGAGAATTACCAGGATTGGGGGGTAGGAAGACGGGGCGATTGAGTACCAGGAACGTTCCCGCTTCATCAGGCACCGGTGCTGATTTACTCCAGATATGGAATGAGCTTTGGAAAGCAGGTTGGTGGATGGGGACTGGTTGGTTAACCTTGTGTGTATCCCCCCTACACACACACACACACACACACACACACACACACCACCCTCTCTCTCAGCT